TAATATGTTATGTGTGTGTGTGTGTGTGTGTGTGTGTGTGTGTGTGTGTGTGTGTGTGTGTGTGTGTGTGTTTTCAGGTGGAATGGCTTTATCTAACATACAGCGTCATGTTCGGGCTCGGCGCGAGTCTCGCTTACACCCCGAGTCTGGCGATTTTGGGCCACTACTTCAAGAAGTACCTTGGTCTGGTGAACGGCATCGTCACGGCCGGAAGTTCCATATTCACGACGTTGCTGCCGTCCCTGATGGAGCTTCTGATATGGCGTTTCGGTCTGGAAGGGACGTTAAGAAGCATGGCCGTGCTCACGGCCATCATCATGGCTTGCGCGATTCTCTTCAAGCCGATACCACGTAAGCCTCTTTGGAAAAACTCGCAGGCTTTTTGTAATTTGACCTTTTAAGTGCATCTGTCAATTTTGCTAATATTTATTTATTTATTTTTGTCGATAGAAATTTACAAAATTAAAAATCTCTCCACGTTTGTTTTGTAAAGGGGGACCGCTGCGTCGGTTACATTAAAAAAATTATTTGCATTAACTTTTTTGAATTTTGGACTCATTCAAAGTTGATTCAAAGTTCGTTAATAACTGCGATTTAATAGTTGTGATAATTGAGGAGACGAATCAACGAATATCTTCGTTATAGTAATCACCAGCACAGCGCAGGAAGATGAGCCGCGACACAAGACGAAATCGATACGAAGTCGTCTGAAAGAATTCGTGAATGTATCTATCTGGAAGAAAAAGCGATACGTCGTGTGGGCTAGTTCTATTCCTCTCGCTCTTTTTGGGTAAGTTCGACCCGTTTGCGCGCGATCATTAATGTTTAGCCCCAGCGAATTGCAACGATCTCGACTTATCTCGATTCGTTATATACGCAAACGGTGCGATAAACCGAAATAGACGACCCCGATAAATCAATCGCCAAAGCAGCATTCGTCACGAAGCATTCGAATCCAAATAGATAAATCCCGATAAATCGCCAATCTGGCTACTTTCTATATTCTGCGAAATCTTTTTATGGAGCGATATCTCGAACGTTTATCAAACGCGATTATGTTAATCTTTCTCCAGAACTCACGCAAATATAATCGCTTCTTTCTATTGGCATCTTCCCTTTCTTTCGTTTCAATGCGAAATTTTGAGTTTGATTTTCCGTTAAATTACAATTTTATTTTAATTATATAGATGAAGAAAATTTAATTTGTTATTTCAGATACTTCGTCCCGTACGTTCACATAGGCAAGTTTGTGGCTATGACGTTCAAAGATGCCGACAGCAAGTTACCGGTCATGTGCATCGGTATCACTTCCGGTATCGGCCGTTTAATCTTCGGCTACATCGCCGACTTGCCGAAGGTGAATCGCATATTTTTGCAGCAGGTGAGTACTCGACAGAGACTTCGAATTCCAACGTGTAATGTGTCTAAAGTCTGTTTTAATAATAAACATCAATGTATATCAAATATTCATCATTCTTTTTTCTCACGCTAGAATTTTGATACAAGTCTAAATAAACAAGGAAAATAGAGAATATTTCTTTCAGATATCATTTCTGATTATCGGCATCCTGACGATGCTTCTTCCAGTCACCGAATCTTTCATCGTACTCCTGGTCATTTCACTAGGCATGGGATTGTTCGATGGATGCTTTATATCGTTACTCGGCCCGATCGCGTTCGATATCTGCGGTCGCAGCGGCGCCACCCAAGCCATCGGCTTTCTTCTCGGAATGTGCTCTATACCTCTAACGGTTGGTCCGCCGATCGCGGGTCTCCTATACGATCATACCGGTAATAATTGTAATAATTTTCTCGCATATCTCGCAAAGGGAGATTATGATGATTTAAAATAGATACGATACAGAGAATTTTTGCTTGTTTTTGCCATACGATTATAAACTAAATAATTAATAATACATGTTATATTGTTTATGTTATTATCAGGATCCTATAAGTTGCCTTTCCTGTTAGCCGGCGTTCCCCCGATAGTGGGAGCGCTGACGATGTTTCTGATAAGGTGCGTTAAACAGAACGATGATGGAAGTGAAAACAATCCTTCCCCCGAGAGTCCCCCGAGCAAAACGGATTGCCAGAATGGTCGGTAAAACAGGTATCTGGATATCATCAATTTTAATGACCGTAATATATATTTTGTGCTGTAAGAAGATGCAAGAAAATATTTGCATTTGTGTGTTGTTTATCTCAGTAGAGCTATCTGTTGTAGAGCTATTTGTTGTAGAATTATCTATTGCAGAGCTGTCTATTGTAGAGCTATCTATTGTAGAACTATCTGTTGTAGAGCTATCTGTTGTAGAGCTATCTGTTGTAGAACTATATGTTGTAATATGTACTGCAGAGTTTTTCATAATATCGCGAGCTTTAAAGTGGTCGCGGAGGATCCCTAAAATTTCTGATGTTTACATATTTGCAATTGGATAATAAAGAGGTCGATCCAAAAAAAATTTGAAAAACATTGTTTCGTATTTTGTTGCAACGAATTTATATTATTGTACTTGCTTTTGTGTTTAGCCGGGTTATTGGAATGTTATTATTTTAGTTATACGCTTATTGATATCTATTTATATTCTGTACTTTGGAATTATCAAATTTGCAGGCAGAGCGAGAAGTAATGGTTTCTCACCAATGTTCATCGAGCGGAAATGCGAGCAAGCGGTGCAAGAAAGGTATAGGACAATGTGCAAAAATTTGCAGCTGTCTCAGCACCACCATATTAAACCACGGGGCGAATTACAAAACGGTTTAGCGCAAAAGAGTTGCAAACATGAATACACCAATAACTATAGATATTCAGAGAGTGTGCCATTGCTTCATGGAGACTGGATCTCACGACGTCCGAGCACAAGTTTCTCTTAGCAAATCGTCGATACCTCATACGTTTTGAGCCCACGTTCTGATGCGTTTCTCGCGTATTTCTTCGCTTTGTGGAATTTTATTATCTAATATTTATTCGGTGAAATGAATATGAAAACCGAATCTATTGAGAAATATCGTTTTGCATATCATAGTGTACATGACGAGTGCACAGAAAGAATTATGTATATAATTTTTACTTAAGATATATATATTGCTATATATATTGCTCTATATATATATATATATATATGCTAATCAATTTTTGATCAATCATTTTTAAGTTAAGAATTATTTAACTCGATAATTAATTGTCTGTATTCTGGAAAATGTCAATAATGTTTCATCAATTTTAGCGTGTCCTAAGACGTATAGCTAGTTTTGGAAAAACGTACTTATCGAAATAATCGATTTAGGCTTTCCTGCTATAGAGATATATTTTAGCGACATACAAATCAAAACATCGAACTTTTAAGAAAAGAAAGATATATTGTAGAAAACATATATTTATTAGAATTATATATTTGATTAGAAAGAAATTATATTCAAGCAAATGTAATTGTTCCAATTAAAACGTGCCTAGTAAAATTAAGAATTATAATAAGAAAATGATTCATTCGATAGAATAGTTATATTGCTTGGTATGTAAATTCTTTTTATAGAAATAATAAAAATGTAAAAACTCTACAGGAAAAAAATTAATATACGAATTACGTTTTTCCAAGATCAATCAATCCGTTACAGACGTTAAAGTGACAAATATATCATTTACAAGTTACTAATTTAAAAACAAAAATATTTTATGAAATATAATTTTAGATTTTAATATACAATGCACATTAAATTAATAACATTACATTATTAAACAATAACATTAAATTATTTAACAATTGTAAATTCCATCAGAATCGACATACAACACTGTCAGCCGGATAGCATTTATTTTTTAAATTTATTGATTATATGTATATATATTTTTTTAATTATATTGATTGCATTATATAATTTCTATATTATTAATTGTTATTTGCGCCACAAAAGGATCTGTCATTTGTACAAATTATTTTACTCGTTTTGTTATTGTATTGCAAAACAATGACTTAATGTTTCATTATTTTAAAAAATGTTTAATTATTATTAATTAGTTATTTTATGTAGTAACTTTCTCATTGAAGTGTTATTCTTTTACAAAATTTTTAAATAAATTAATGAGGAATTTAAGAGAATGTATATGAAAACAAATATTTTTATATCAAGAGTTGCCTGAACAGCGACATTGCAATATAATGTTCATTATTTTATATATGACATGAATATGATATAGATATAAAAATATATCAATGCCATAAGATGAAAAAAAACAGTATTATTTATTCTCACATTTACTTATGCAAAGCCAATTCCTGTTCGTGATTTAATAATGCAAGAGTAAAACAAATTCGTGCGAAGAATAAAATTGTTGTTGCGCATAGTTCTTACTTATTTTCTTATAATATTGTTTATAATATAGACATAAAAAAGAAAATTAAAAATAAAGTTACAATATTTGCAATTTTATTACGCATAAATTTCTCTTATATATTCCTCTTCATCTTACATTTTCCTCTTACATTGTTTTTAATGTTAAAGAATTTTTATTTTCTCAATTTAAAATCTCCAATTTTCAGAATTACGATTCTTGAAAATCTCGAAAAATTCTCAGAATTTTAAATAGTGCAATTTTCCTACCGATTATTTCTTCTTCATTTATTTTCAAGATTTTCCATTTTCCATTTTCGGTCCAAAATTTCAAATTTTCAGAATTACAATTTTTGAAAATTTAAATACTGCAACTTTATTGCCAAATTTTTTAGGGTAATTCGGATATATTGCGAATTCTCAAAATGGCAGAGGATTTTTCTATTCAGTTTGACCTGCTCTACTAAGAGCAGGTCAAACTGAATTTGTATTTGTATAATATTTATATTATACAAATTTATTTTATATATATATATGCAGCGGTTATACAGTTAACCGGCGACGGCGGTCGCACCGCGTGCGCTCTCGCCGCATGTGGCGCGCAGCACGGAGCCGCCGCCGCCGCCGCCGCATTACGTCTCGCAACTGCGCTGCGCTGCG